TTTTTTTTTTTTTGTCAAAAATTCATTTTGAAATAGGAATGTGAGGTCACAAAAAAGAAAAATTTTGAATTTGTGTGTAATATTAACTTATTAAAAAATATGTGATTGAAATAAGAAAGAATGAGAGTGAAATAATGTATTTTGAAATAATGAAGACCAAACAATGGCTTAACGACTACTATGAACTCATTATTTTCCTATTTAAAGATTACATAAAAAATTTATTTTACGTGATACATTCTTCTTAAACTAAACATATTCACGCCATATTTTTTTTAATAAATGCACCACGTTTTAATTTCATGAAAGGATACATTTACTGATCATCACATTTATATCCCCATTTTTTTCGTATCGTTCTTATTTTCAAATTAAAACAAGTTGTCTTGAGGATTGTTTTTGTCCAAAATTTTCATTGAGATGGAATAAAAAACTTATTTATCGTTTATATTTTTAAACAAGCAAAAAGAAAAACAATTACAAAATTCAAGCTAAATATTTTCCATTTTAAAACATGTTAACATTATTTTTGAGAATAATGTAATAATGAATGGAGTTCAAGGACTTTAATTTAGAGCTTGTTTGGGACGGATTAAAATCCAATTAAAATTGAAAATATAGTTGTTATTGGGTCTCACTCGTCTAATAAAAGTCAACTCCAACGGCTATATTTTCAATTTTAATCTGATTTTAATCCCTCTCAAACAAGCTCTTAATTGAAATGTGACATATTTATAAAACTGCGGTGGTAATATAATAACATTCCCCTTAATTAAAAGTAGATACCCCCCCCCCATGTTTCAAAAATATTATGGCTCGTTTGATTTGTGTTTCAGTTTTCACTTTCAAATTTGAATTCATTTTCAATTTTCTGTTTTGAGGATCCATTTTAAGATTTTTAAAAGTGGAAATTACACTAACACCTACATTTCAAATTCAAAAATCAAATTATAATTATTTTTCTTTCAAACATTAGGTTATAATTATTTTTATTTTAAACCTAAATAATCTAATAACTAAATCCTAAACCCAAATAATATAATAAATTCATTATACCCACCCTCCCACCGCATCCACCATACCCACAGCAGCCCTAATAATCCACCAACGACAACATGCGGTACCACTATACCCATCGCCCATAGCACTTAGTTGTACCATGCAGAAACTAAGATGAGTGTCACGCAAAGCGTGCTCATCGTCGCTTTGAAGCAGCAACATTGCGTGCAACGTCGCATGCTCATCGTCGCTATGCGTAGCTCCGCGCGACAATGGTTTAGGTAAATTTTGCGGTGGTGTGAATATAGAAAAAAGTGATGGCTCCGGCATAGATTCATCTAGTGGTGGGAGGAAGACTTATGGTGGCGATGTCATTGTGAACATGATTGCACAGTGGTTATTTGTGTGTTTATAATAGCAAAAAAGGTGTGAAATCTGTGGTGGTGCGGTGGAGATATGTGCATATGGCGGTGTGTGCGGCGATGCTGCTGGTGCGGTGGGTAATACAGGCAGTGGTGGTGTTGGGATGATGGTGGTGTGGTGGTTTGCATGTGTGTAGTTGGAGTTGAAGTGGTGGTAATGTGGTGTGGTCATTGTTGATTGACGATTGTGGTGGGAGTGATGGTGAGGTGGTGTTGTCGGCGGGGTAGGGGAGACGAGTGAAAATTTGTGACTAGTTAATTGGGTAATTGTGACCAATTAATTGTAACTTGTGATCGATTAATAAGTTGTAACCAATTAATTTGTTAATTTGTGATTGAAAAAGAAATTGTAACCAATTAATTTAATAATTTGTGATCGATAAATAAGTTGTAATAAAGTAATTTGTTAATTTGTGATCGAGGAATAACTTGTGATCAATTAATTTGATAGTTTGTGATTTGTAACCGAGAAATAATACGTGACTTATTAATTTGATAATTTGTGATCGATAAATAAATTGTGATTTATAAATTTTTGATATGTGATTGCAAAATAACACGTGGCCTATTAAATTGATCATTTGTGACCGAAATAAATTATGACCTATAAAATTTTGTGATATGTGATTAAGAAAAATGTATGATCAATTAATTTGATAATTTGTGATCGATAAATAACTTGTAACTTATGAAATTTGTGATTTGTGACTATGGCATTTTCTGATTGTGACTAGTAAGTAATTGTGACCATAAATTATAAAGTATTGTGATCTTAATATATTTAATTAATTAAACATTTATTTAATAAAATTTAATCAAGACATATTTTTTAAGTGTTTAAACATGTTTGTTAATTTTGAAATTGCATCCTCTAACTACCTTAAATATGTATTGTTCCCTTTTAAAAACTTGTTTGGTTTATCATTTTGAAAAATTATTTCTCAAAACATAAAGTTAGAAAAACATGTTTGGTTTGAAATTTTGAAAAACTATTTTATGACATTTTATTCAATAAAAATAAAATAACTTTACATTAATATATTATCATGTAATATTACATTTTAAAATTAATGAATGTTCAATATTTTTCTTGCTATAAAAGTAAAATAAAAATAAATAATAAATTGAGTTTAAGAAATAAAAATAAAAATTAATGATGTAGATTGGAATTATTTTTTATACGTGCTCACTTTAGCTAAAAGTGCAAACCACAAGTGCATTGCTCGAGTTCAAGTAATAAAGTAGATTTTCTGAGTCCGAATTGTCAATCTCTCAATGAATGCTTACTTTCGATTATACAAGTTTAATCAATTTAATTTTAACTATAAAAACAAACACACAATAAGATTTGATTTTGAAAAATAAGAAAAAAATAAAGTAAAACTCTACAAATTAAGAAAACATAAAAACTTGAAAAATTTCGGAGGAAAACATGGTTGGAATTTATTATTTCGCTTAACTTTCGCCTAATTAATTTCTCCACAAGCCGATTAACAAAATTACTCATTTATAATATTAGACACGATTTTTCAACTTTAGTTAATTATCTCTCTCGAGCGAAATTGACTCTAATTAATTGGTTTAACCTACTATACCTCTATGTTGATTTAAACCAAACAATCGCATTAATGTTTTGTGAAAATAACTCAATGGATCACTTAGGGCTAATGGTCTCCACAAGCTAATTAATAAATTACTCATTTTCGAAGTTAGATCCGATTTTCCAAGTTTATTTAATAACCTCTCTCGAGCAAAATTAACTCAAATTAATTGGTTTAACCTACTATATCTCCATACCGATTAAAATCAAACAACCTCGTTAAATCTTTGTGAAAACAGTTCAATCGGTCACTTAGGGTTAATGGTATATCTCAATCCCCTATAAGAACCTAATGTTTCTACTATTTAGTCTAAAATGCACAATCTTCTCTCGAGCGATGTACAAATCACTAAATATAATCATTCATTGACCACATAAACGAAATTGCAAGAAATACAAGAGTAAATGCACATGAAAATAAGCACTTTAACAATAAGAAGCAAATATTGAAATTAATAAAGTTGGATTGAACTCCAACCATAAATCCCAACACAAATATTTAGCATATGTTATCCAAATGATAAAAATGAGAATATTTCATACAATACATTACAAGTTTGGTAAAACAACGGAAAAAATACAAGATTATAGAAAAAACCCTTTTTGTTAGATTTGTGAAGATGATAATTGCTAGCTCTTGATTTTCCCAAAATTTCTCAAATTCCTTGATTGATTCTTCTTGTGTGCTCTATAATTTCCCCCAAAATACCGAGAAAATTAAAGGAAAAAGAAGAGAAAAGTGAAAGGAAAAGGACAAGAAAGAAAATGGAAAGTCAAAATAGAAAAAGGAGAGTAGGGTTGTCGTGTCTAATTCTTAAACCCTATTCAGAAATTGCAGCCAAGCTCCTGAAGTTTGGAAAGTGAACAAGATGGAATCGAGTCTTTTTTTAATTAAAGACGGCGTTGAGGCGCTAGAGTTGGACAAAACTCTCAAATTGAATCAAATGGTATTTCTTAAATTAAATACCTGAATAAGTATCTACTTAAATTTTTTAATTTTTTTTATCTTAAACAAGCCAAATTATTTTATTTTTTAAAATAAACTTGCTAACTAATAATTTAGCTCAAACCCAAAGGCCACGTTCGATCCACATTCTTCCTGA